ATGTATATATTATTATATACAATAGTATTATGATATATAGTATATTATATTATATACTATATAATATATAATTGAATATTATTTTGGTTATTACTTAATACTTTATTAGTATTATTGCCGCGTATCTATTAACACACGTCACACATTATCAACGCGGCATCGCTTGTGACTTGAACAAAGTTGGACCTTTGACAACTCAAAATTATCGTGCACCGTATACTCAATATTTACAATATATTATTCATTGACTCATTGTAATATAAAATTATATTATAATGTTTTTTTTAAAGCTATATTTGGGAGAAAAAAAGTAGACCGCAGGAGGCGCAGTTGCCCACCCTGCCACCCTCGTGCGTACGTCTATGATAGTGAACTAAAGTAAATGACTATAAACACATATTATGATAGAATATAGACACCCTGTGTATAACCTTAGAGACGCATAGGTACTTACAACCAACACAATGATGTAAGACATTTAAACTTCAGTCTTAACTTTTTCCCCAAGACGACTTAAGCGGTGATAAAACTGAATGATGATTAATTTAAAATTTGATATAAAGAATGTATAAGATTATTTTGTGTACCTATACATAAGTCATAATTGAGATATTGACATTAAGTATTTTTATATTATTATACTATCCAATTATCGTGGTTTAAATAATTGCGAATATTCAATATATTATATGATATATAGCAGGGATGTCCACTAATCTTAATTTTGTGAGTATAAAATTTATGAAGAGAACGCTACACACATATTTGTTGTCTCCGTCTTACAAGTGCGTAACATAGCAAATGTATGCWTAGCAGATAACGTATAATTCCTTTAGTTTAAAAATTAGAGTAAATTAACCTATTATGAAACTTGATATATAGTTAGAACATTATCTGTGTTTGTATGTCGGTTTTTTACGATGACTTAGTTTTTAAGTGAGTTATGAGCATTTTTAATACATGTTTTTTAATTTACGCATAACTTGCTATAAAATTAGCACTATCGTAAAAAAAACCCATATACAAACACAGATAATGTTCTGAGCATCAAGTTTAATAATAGTTCGATTCACTCTAATTTTTAAATTAACGGAGCTAAATGTGATCTGCTGAGCATATATTTGTTTTGTTATGCACTTGTAAGATGGAGACAACAAATGGTTGTGTGGCGTCCTCATAAGCTAATTCGAAGCGAGATMATTGTTAAGATATGTTAATACAATAAAAACACATTTTTAATTTTTTAACGAATGAAGCAAAATTTTTTTTTATATTATACAGACCATTATCAGGTACACTTCAAAGAATGAAAACAAACTCAAGGGCCAGATATAATGCGACTCGTTAGCCTTATCGTGGCTACACCCGATATAATATATCTTAAAAATTTAGATTATTCAGATTATTTTTAGAATAATATTTTATCTTAAGTGTAAAAAATAGACATTTTTATATTGCTCCGTGATACTGCATTAAGGTAATATAAAATATACTAAAAATAATCTGATTTTGGGGATAAAAAAATTTCAAAATAATCTATATTGGTCATCGTATTATAGTGAGTACCTGATCAGAGTATAAGGTGACTATTGAGTATGCATATATTAGTGACCTCATGTCCTCATCCATTTTAAAAACACCCTGTATACATTATTTAATTTATCTTACTTGAGTTAATCRCCAAAACATAATATCTAATATCTATTAGACCTGAATGTTTGAATCCCTGATACAAACTAAGATATTTTAGATATCTTGGTTTGTGATGATTTTTATCAGCTGATCACTGTTAAAATRTCAGCTGATACAAATTAGTTCATTTTAAATAAAATCAAAATTTGTTATGTGCTCGGATATATATGTTTTTAAATCGATGTAATATAGCCGTATAGAAATGTCATTTGTATATAGTGTTATATATCAGTTATCTATTTTACTTATTGTGTCATGTAATACAGATTGTAAATTTTCTAATAAAAAAAAAGAAATGTCATTAGAGTATTAGACGGCCTGCATTCAGAACAGAGGTGGCTGATTGGATTATTATTAGGAAATRCGTTATTACTTATTACCTACTTATTATAGTTATGATGAGTAATAATAATAATAATAAKAAGAAGAATAAGAATAGTCCAGCCTGGGCCTTATTAGACGCCAATGCTTTAATAAACAAAATAAAAAAATAGTGGATGTCGCTCTGCTGTACATTAGGTGGACTTCTGACTAGGGTAGGTTAGATTTGAATGCAATGATTGGTATCATTGTATACGAAAAACGATTCTGGACGGAGATGATTTGTCAGTCTAGGATATATTGTATTTAAATATTGTCATATATTCTATTTTATTTTTCAATTAGGACGCATTTTGCATAAGGCATGTAGTTATAATTCATAATACCTTATATTATCATAGATATACATATACCCGATTTCATAAAAAATTTAAAATTCAAACGCACTWAAAATTTTTCCTTTAACGACTCTTCGAGTTTTCTCTATAGCTATTTGAAGGAAAACTTAGTGTTATATTTTTAATCCTTAGTTATAAACAGAAAAAATTTTATGATTTTTAAACTTCAAAATTACTTGCAAATTTTCGCGTTTTCGACAGATTTCGTAAACATTTGAACTATAAACTCTTATAAAAAAAAATTGTGACTAACGATTTTTAATTTTTTTTTAGCTACAATTAGAACAACTCATACGGAACCTTGTATTAAATTTTCATGTTTTTTTGGTTGTCCAACATTTTTTTACCGACACTTCAAAAAAAAAATTCTCAACAAAATCGAAAATTTTAGTGGTCTATAAATAACTCAAAAAAAGTCGAAAATTAAACTGTATATAGATATCACTAACATAAACATTTAGTGAAAATTTCAAGTATTTCAGTGATTAGTTTTTGAATTACAACCATATAAAAAAATCGATTTTGTCGAAAACTGGTTTTGCGTAAAAATTCAGGTTTTTCTGTCATTTTTTTTTTGTTTTTCTCGATTTTTTTGAAAACTGTTGGAAAATGTTTACTTTTGACCTCTATGCACCAAGGATCTTCACTTTTACATCGGAAACCACCCCCAAAGTTTGAAATCGAAGCATTATTTCGACTAGTTATGCTATACACAGACACAAAAAAAAAAAAAAAAACACACATTGTAAAATCAATACATTCATCACTTCGTTCAGAATCTAAAATAATAATGTCAATAATATAATAGTATTGAACTATTGAACACTTAAATGAATAGAACCGTTTTAAACACTTGCCAGTAAATCACGAATACACACACACACAAATATATACCTAAATAACTTTGTATAGGTTTTATTTGATAAATAAAGCTCTCAGTACTAGGTAAAAAACTTATGCGTTGCACTTAAATATTCAATGAAGATATAGCCATTATTAATGAGATATATTGGTGTTCAAATTTAGGCTATGTAAAATATATATGTTTTAATCTATTTTTATCAGTTTAAGTTTTTTATTTTTTATTTTAAACGAATTTATTATGACGTGTTTAAATGTGTATTATTTTGTACTAGTATTACCTAATAATGCATTTATTTTTATTAATTAAATATTAAATAATAAATCAGGAATTAATGGTGATCTCTCGAAAGTCAATAAGTTTGGATATTTTGAATTTTAGACATTTTTACCCACTAAAATTACGCATTTACACTATTCTGCGATATTTAGATAAATTTCATTGTAATATTATAAATTAAAGTGTGTTAAATATAAATTTTTTGTTTATTAAATTTAATGTTTTTATACAGACGACCAATTTTGAACTATTATGGAATCTATTAAAAGAGTACTTTCCATACAAAGCCACGTTGTTAGTGGATATGTGGGCAATAAATGCGCTGTGTTTCCATTACAGGTAATTGAGCAAATGAAATTTACATTTAGAACTTTAAAATAATATTATGGAGCTTTTATCACAGATAATGGGTTTTGAAGTGGATGCAATAAATTCTGTTCAATTATCAAACCATACTGGATATAAAACTTATTATGGCCAAATATTAAACGAAAATAATTTATGTAAGTTGTTTTTTTTTTTTATTATTACTTTAAAGCCTCAACAACTAAAGTTATTAGCTTACATATTTTAAAATATTACTTATATATACAGGTACAATTTACAATACATTTTACAATATTACAATAAATTATTCTTGGTAGGTATGTGTAATTAAAGTATAGGGGACAATATTTTTTATTCTATTTATATTTATGAAATACATTTTATGACTTTTCAGCGGAATTAATAACTGGTCTTGTAGAAAATGAATTGCATAATTATTCACATTTATTAACTGGTTATATTAGATGTCCAATGTTTTTAAAGAAAGTTGCGGAAGTTTATAAAATATTGAAGAAAAAAAATCCAGATTTGATATATGGTGTGTATTATGTTTGACTGTTTATAAATATGTATATTATTTTAATTTTAAATTTACCACATAATTCAGGTTAATATTTTGAGTTATGATATTATAATCTTAACTTTAATATATTTTATAATTTATATACCTAATTGTTAACAAAAAAATTACTATAGTTTATTATTTGAGATAATATTAGACACTAAATAGCAATTTTCTAGAATTCAAAGTTGATATTACAGAAGTTCTTAAACTGTTATTCAATAAATAAATAAAACTTTTTATGAAATCTGAATGATTGTGACGACTTTTGGCTACAGCTGAGTYTCTATAGTCACAAATATAAAGTAAAATATATGTGATATCCATTACCCGCATGTGTTGTCTCTGTCTTACAAGTGCGTAACATCACAATTTTTACGGTCAACAGAACACGTGTAGCTTTGTTAGTTCAAAAATTAGAATGAATTGATCTCTAATAAAATTTAAAGCTAAGATTATTATCTAGACAATCTTATGGGATTTTTTTATCATATTTTAATTTTGAAGCGAGTTATGAGTATTTTAAAATTGTAAATAGTTTTAACATCTTAAAATAATACTCATAACTTGCTTTAAAATTAAAATATAATATAAAAAGCCTATGAGAAGCCCTCAAAGTTCGTTATAATATGGAAGTTTCATTGTAATTATACTAGGAATATGTAATTACACTGAACATCAATTAAGCACTACCTTTCCATATATCTTTCCTTGTGAATAATTATTAAGTCCAATACTACCTTTGGTAGAGGCACGTATTAATAATTTTTAGTTATAATTTAAGCTAATCACAAAATTCGGGATGTTAGCATTAAAATTCCTGGTGTGGATTTCAGGGTTTAAGCACCCCTGTGATTTGCGCCAATGATATTTTCAAAATAAGTTTAGCTAGTAAAATAAATAATTGTTTCCATACAAATTTCTAAGTTCCACATTGTTCCTCTTTGTTATTCTTACGTATGTTCTGTACCTTAAATTACGTAACTACGCTTAGAGCTTTGTATTGATCATTGTATGATACAATGTCACAAAGATTAATACAATTTGTATCAAATATTTACCTTTTATTATCTTTTTAGTTATATTTATTCGTTTTTTTTTTTGAGATTTAAATTGGAAGTATCTTTTATACAAATCTTCTATATACCTATTTTTAATTATTATCTCGTTTATTTAATTATTGTCAACTCTAAAATGAAATATATTCAAAGGCATGTTAATCAAATTAAAATTATATAGGTTCCTAATAAAAAAAAAAACCCGAAGAAGTCAATATTTTATGTATAATATATTAATATAGTATTATAGGTGTCGAGTTGTTGAGTAAGTTACTGTGATTAACAGTAAAATGTAATTAACATTAAATTAAAATTCGATGAAAAATGATTCTAAGGAGAGACTATCGTTCTATTACCCATATGTAAAAACACACTACACTACAGTAAAAAAACTCGTGATTTTCAAATTTTAATTAGAAACACTCATAAAAAATATAGGCGTTTTATGCTTTTATATTAAATTCTCGCAAGGAAAACTTATGAGAAAACCTCGTATAATTGTTAAGCCTCAATAGTAGGATAAAGATTAAATTTTTTTTTAATTAAAAAATTGAACGTTTATAAAAAATTCGTGATCATATTCATTTTTGATAATAAGAAAAATTTGTGAGGATTATTTTATGAAATTTCAAGCTTTTTTAAATAACAAAAAAAAAAAATCGTAAATTGGATCGTCCTAAGATATTCTATAGTAAATATAGACAATATAGTTAAGTCTTCAATGTCTTCATGGTTATTCGTTTTTGAATTATAGCAAAAAAAATATGGTTAATTGTATGTAAACACTTCCGTTTTTAAAAAAATTGTTTCAATTACCTTGAATTTTTCAACTTCATACTTGATAATTATAGTTTATTTCAAAGTTTCTAGTTTTTGCATAACTTATTTGATAACAATTTGTCAACTGTATATTTTAATAATAAATTAAAATATTTATCTATATTTAAAGTTTGTGATCCTGTGATGGGTGATAATAAAAAAATGTATGTTCCAAAAGAAATATTAGATGTCTATAAGGATGAAATTATACAACTGACTGATATCCTTACACCAAATGAATATGAACTAGAGTGAGTAAAGTTATAATGACTAATACATTTTTTTTTATATTAAACTTAATATTTGTATGTTTTTATTTATATAAGGTTATTAACTGGTATAACTATAACAACCCATAATGACATTTATAAGGCCATGAATATATTATATGCTCAGGGTTGTAAGACAGTTGTTGTGTCATCTTCCAACATATCATCTAATTCTGTTATGAAATGTATTGGAAGAAATTTTTCTTGTAAGTACTAATATACCAATGGGTACAACAAGTATGCATGCAAATATATTTTACATTCTTAGACCTTAATTGAGTTAAAAATATAATGTTAATTCCTCAAATATTTCAATAGATATAGTCTTATAGAGATTTTTTGTGGGAAACACATTTAATTAGATTTGAGTGATTCAAAAATTGCAAGATATCCCTACATAAATTAGACATTTTACATGGATAAGAGTTGTACTAATACATTGGTAGTAAATAAAAAAGTTATAGTTATCTATTATAATGGGTAGTTTGATAATGCTATTTTATTGTTATAAGTCTCTCCATTAACCAGACACCAGCTATTTTCTATCAAAGACTTCACTTCAAAATACAAGGCTTCCCAAACCAACTCAACTACACTCAAAATCTCTTCCAGGTACCTTACCTGATGTCTAAGACTAAATTGGCCCAGACACATTCTTAAAAATTCAATCATATAAATTTAAGATTTATTTAAAGGTAGCTCAATTGTAGGTACCTAGCTTCCCTATTCACCGTCCCATCACTATCATCCCCCTCCCCTCAAATTTACTCATTGTACATATTATAGTATTGATTGTCAATTTTTAATTATCATTATTTTATAAAAATGTGTGTACAGATATAACAATGCTAAGCATAAATTAACATATCTTACATGTTTTCCAAAATTTGTTTTAAAATTTTAAATTAAGCTCATTATCAATCAGCAACAATTTGCATTATTACTAATTATAATTTTTATTTTATTATCATTGTGAACAAAGTTTATTCATTAATAATGTATACTTCTTTGTACCTATATACTCAATTTTCCGAGAAAATAAGGTTGTTCATTAACCCAAATCCTTACATCTTGGAACTAGTGGTATGTGTGAAGAAGCCACATTATCTCGGTTAATGAAGTATAGGTGTTTTGTATTTACTATATTATGCATTATACATGATGTCTCAACATATATAATATTAAGTATGTTAATATTTTATTAGGTGAGGAATATGTGGAATTAGATATTCCTATAATTGACCAATCCTTTATTGGCACTGGAGATTTTTTTACTGCGTTGTTATTGATTTGGATGAACTTAACTAATAATGACTTGAAACATTCTATCGAAAAAACGGTTGCTACTATTCAAGCAGTATTAAAACGCACCATAAAATGTAACTATCTAACTATTCTAACTATAAGAATAATTGTATTTAAAATTAATTAATATGTTAATTATTGTTTACTTTGATGATAGACACTAATGAAAATGGTTCAAAGAATCCAATAAGCAATAAAGAATTAAAATTAATTCAGAGCTTGAGTGATATCCAGAACCCTGAAGTAACAATATTTAGTACTATAAATAAAGTTGGATAATTATTTTTAAATATATTTAATTATACATCACAATAACTAATAAAAATATTATAGTAATTGTTAATTAATTACTAGAATTTAATTTGAAGGACAAACTTCATAATCCTATAGTTATGTTTGAGTTACTTAAAAACTATATATAGCTAATATTAAGTAATATATGAAAATCTGAACTATGAAATAGATTCATGAGCTTAAAATAAAATGTACCAATAAATTATTGTAGAAATTATCAAATAGTATTTAATATTTTATTATTATATAAATATAAATATATAAACTTAATGAAACTATGTCTTCCAAATACAACTGTGAATTCTGAAAGATACCAATAATAATTAATTGTATTAATTGTTTTTAACCAGTTAAATAATTGTATTAAAAGTTATTCAGATAAAATCAAACTGTTTTATTACTTTACAGAATCATAATATTACACATGTATTAATATTTTTTATTTAAGTATATTACCTATTATAATATATTTTTTTTAAAGTGGAACTTAAATTGCATTTGTATAGTTGTATTATCATATTGAGAATAAGTTACTGTTTCTACATTGAGAAAATATACATGTTAAATGTCTTATCTTAGTCTTGCCGCATAGCCCTGTTAACCAACTTAAATAGTTTATAGGTCTATGTTGTGTTGTTGTTATAAGACTGTAAGTCTGTAATAATAAGTTAACTCTTAATTCTTATACAAACTGCGTATACTTTTGTATGTAATTTATAATTATATTTAAAAAATTTTCTTTAACTTAAATTATATATAAAGAGAGATATTATAATTATTATAGTATCTCATTTTCAATAATCATTAATAAATGACATGCATACTGTTTGAGTACATAGAATACTCTATGGACAATTTATAGTCTTAACAATTGATAAATTAGGTACCTCAAATTAAACCAAATTAAAATAAGATCTAAATCTTAAATGGTTGTTTCATATCAGTGACGTACTTTTGGTGATTTACCGGGGGGGGGTATCCAACATTTAATGAATATACATAATAGATATACTACATAAAATGAAAATTCAAAATAGTATAAAATAAATGGTAACACCACCAATATTTAGACCTTTTTCTTTAAAGTTGAATGTGTCCAGATATGGAATACACTCCCTTTCCCTCAAAAAAAATAAAATAAAATAATGAACGATCATAATATGATCTAAGTGACATACAGTTGGAATACCTCTGATTTAGCTATTTAAGTTAAGAGGACATAACATCCTTACCCGCATGTCTTGTCCCCGTCTTACAAGTGCGTAAATTATCAAATTTTAAGCTTAGCAGATCACATTTAGCTCTGCGAGTTTAAAATTTAGAGTGAATTGCCCTTTTATAAAAATTAAAAGCAACATTATTATCGAGAGCTTCTTATGGGCTTTTGATTATATTTTAATTTTAAAGCGAGTTATGAGTATTTTAAGATATTGAAAGTATTTAATATCTTAAAATACTCATAACTAGCTACAACATTAAAATGTAATAAAAAGCCTATGAGATTGTTTAAATGATAATCTTAC